ACTTCTCTGGGCACCTCTGCGCCCTGAACCAAGTCCTGTGTTCATCCTGGGGCTGTCCCCACTGGCCTTCAAGGAGAGGGGTGTGTCTCATCCTTTCTGAAGTCCTTGTCCCAGTGGGTCTCACCTGGTGTGGGTTGGACTGATGACTTGTGCTGGAGCTCAAAGGAGGGAGATGTGGCCTGGCTAGGATGGGGAAAGAGTGGGTCGTTAGTGACAGCTGCAATGGGTTAGGGGTGCTGTGAGGAGCCAGCTCCTTCCTCCCACCCATTCCCGAATAGGCTCTGAGAAGAGACCCCTCCTGGGAGGCTCTGGAGCCATCTGGTCTGTTTTCCCGGATCCAAGGGCCCCTCCCTGCCACCCACAGACCTGCCAAGGCCAGGCACAGCCAAGGTGAGCTGAGGACATGCTGTTCCTAGTGCCAGACTTCCTGAGGCTGTACTGGAGTTGGTGCTTCCATGACCTGGCCCCAGGCTCTGCACAGTGTGTGCCTTGGCTCCTATCCCCCCCGCCCCAGGTGCCTAATGAGCCAGGTGCTATTCTTAACACCCCCATTTTCCAGAAGAGGCTGCTGAGGTTCTGAGAGGGGGATCTGTTCAAGTCATGTGGGCAGAACTCCCTGGAGGACTAACGCCCCTAGTGTTTCACATGTTTTAACTCCGGTGTAACAACACCTGGAAGAGTGACTGCTATTATTTTTATTGAACAGACAAGGAAATGAAGTTACAGAGAGGTTGGGAGACTTGTCTGGTGTCACCCAGCTAGCAAGCAGCAGAGGTAGGATCACCCTTGGCAGCTGGCAGCTTGAGGATGAGGGGGATGAGAAAAAGGGAAGATGAGGTGTTCCATCTCAGGACATGAAACCCCAAAGGTTGCCAAAGCCTGTGCAGTCCTGGCATCTCAGCTGCCCTACAGCCCAAGGGAGACAATTAAGACCAGAGCAGGAAAGCGATTCCCCAAGGTCACTCAACAAGTTAGTTGCAGGGAGGAAGCTCAGACACCCAGGACTGGACCTTGCTGCTCCCCTGACTAGCTGCACTCACAGATGTGCCCTGAGGGACAGAACTTTGGACACCCACTGCAGGTGAAGAGTTTTGGACTAGGAGGCAGAAGCCTGAGGGACAGCTGACTCAGCAGCCCTCCCTGCCTGGATCCGAAGCCCTCACCGAGAGCTTCTGGGACAGGGTTTTCTGCTCCCCTCACTGCTTTTCCCATTAGCACAGGTGAGAGGCCCCAATTCCTCTGCAGGCCTTTTGTTTCCTCTGGTTCCCAGTCTTCTCCCTCAAAGGAAGCACACAGGAAGCTGGAAAAAAATGTCCAGGGCAGCTCAGAGTCCCCCTCTGGAATTGGGGCTGCCCATAATCCTCTCACTACGCTGCCCAGAATTCGTTCCATTCTGCTTGTCACCTAACTGTCTGGATAAGACCCATGTGAGGAGAGGTCGTGGGAGACAGGGATGGTGTGCAGAAGAGACTGGAGTCCCATGGCGGGGGCACTGGGGTGTCTCAGGTCCCTCCAACTCTGGGCTGTGAGACTCTATGAGGGGTACTTGAAACCCTTTGCCGTGGAAAAAGACTAAATGGCCCTGCCCACTGAGGGCAGCCAAAATAGAGCAAAGAAGCATGAAAGCGACACTCAGATGTCTTTCTGGGCCTGCTGGCCTGGGGTGGATGGAAAAGCTCAGGTCCCCAGCTTGTGCCTCTTTGCATGGGTGCAGGCCACCTACGCTGGGGAGGCCCTGGGGTACCACAGCCTCCTACATCCAACCCCACTGTCAGGAAGGGCTGGAGGGGGAATGTCTTCCATGAGATTGGCTCGCTGGCTGACAGAGAGCTAAGACTTAGCAGGCTACCTCAGCCCTGCTCCATCTCGCCAGGTTTGAGCCCAGCTATGGCTCTGGTCCATCTCAGTGCAGTGCCTGTGCCTCCTCCTGTCCCTTCCTTCACTCTCCCCTAAAAGCTGGCAAGGTAAGGTCATCATCAACTTTTTTTTTTTGGTGGTACTGGGGTTTGAACTCAGGGCCTCAATGCTTGCTAGGCAGGCGCTCTACCACTTGAGCCACTCCACTGGCCCTTTTTCGTGTTAGGTATGTTTGAGATAGGGTCTCGAGAACTATTTGCCCAGGCTAGCTTCGAACCCTGATCCTCCTGATCTCTGCCTCCTGAGGAGCTAGGATTACAGGAGTGAGCCACTGGCACCTGCCCTCATCAATGTTGGCTGGTGAGTAAACTAAGGTTTCCTGGAGTGGGATTTTGTGGAATGGCAGTCACAGAGTCCAGTCCGAAGTCCAGGGTCCTCTCCACTGCCCATCTGACAAGAGTGAAGGACTGGGTTGGGTATGGGGGGCAGTGGTAAGGTCAAACAGGCAAAGAGCCAGCAGGACTAGAGGTATCTGCTGTGTCGTAGACTGTTGTGGCCATTTATGCTTCTTGAATTGTACCACGGCCTCTCTGGCTTGTAGGCCTTTGCCCATGCTGATCCACCAACTCCAAATGCTTGTCCCTTCCCTATACTTGGCTACCTCCTACTCATCCTCCAGGTCTCAGCTTCAATGCATGCATTAATGCAACAAGTATTTCCTGAGTGCCTACAATGTAGCTGACACTGTCCTAGGCCAGTTATTCACACGGAGTGTAAGGAGATGCAGCTGCTCTCACCGGAGGCAGCCTCCAGAGGCAGCCACAAGTTCCTGATGTCGAAGGAGTCAGGGAGTAACTCAGAGCCATGAAGGTCTATCTTGTACCTGTGTCTGGTTCAGTTATGTGGCAGGGGATTCTACTCCAGGTGTTTGTCAGCTTCCATCACTTTATCACAAAACACTTGAGAAAAATCAACTTAAAAAGAGGACAGGCTTATTTTGACTCACAGTTGTAAAGATTCCAGTCCATGATTGGTTGGCTCTGTGGCTTTGGGCTTGTGGTGAGGCAGTTCATTCTGGTGGGTGCACATGGCAGGACAAAATTGCTCACCTCATGGTCAGGAATCAAGAAAGAAAGAGGAGCCAGGATCTGGTGGCTCACGCCTGTAATCCTTGCTACTCAAGAGGTAGAAATCAGAAGGATCACGGTTCAAAGCCAACCCCAGGCAAATAGTTCATGAGACCCTATCTCAAAAAAAAAAAAAAAAAATCACACACACACAAAAAGGGCTGGTGGAGTGACTCAAGTTGTAGACCCTGAGTTCAAATCCCCACGCTGCAAAAAAAAAAAAAAGAGGAGCAAGAAAGAGAAAGAGACTGAGGTCCCACAATCCACTTTGGGGACATACCCCTAATGACTAAAGACCTCCCACTAAGTCCTACCTCTCAAAGATTTTATCATCTCCCAGTAGTGCCACCCTGGGACCTTTAACACATAGGCCTTTGGGGGACATTTAAGATCCAAACTAAAGCAGGAGATGTGACAATGACACAAAATGAAAAGGCGCCCACGATGGGAGGGATGGGTATGGCCATTTTTGCAAACAATCTAGTAGAGTTTAGAGGTGGGGCTTTGCCCAGGACCCTAGCAATGTGCTCTTTGTGGATCCACTAGGCACTGGCATCCCTAGTGAGCAGGCCAGGTCCCGTGAAACTTGTGGTCTGGCACAAGAAAGAAGCCCAGAACTAGACAAATAGACCACAGGAAATATTGAGTGGAAAGAGAATGGCAGGAATTTCTCTGAGGACAAAGAGGCTCAGATGAGCCTGGAGGTTGAGAAGGCCTGTCCCATCCTGGGCACAACTTCCTCCTCCAGATAGTAAGAGGACTGGTCAGAGCTGTGGACTCAAACAGCTCCTTGTAGTCCTGGGGTTTCCTGTGGCACCCCATGTGCTACTCAGAAGGGGGCTGAGCAGGGGCTACCTTAAATTTTCAACTAACTGGTTTCAAAGCTCATGCTAGGCTCCCACAGCCTAGCTTCTAAGCCAGACTCCCACTGAGTATGTGGGACAAAAATTTCCCAGGACTCCTCTTGTTCTCAAATAACCTTGCCAGGATTCTGAGCTCTAGGGGAACAGGAAGCCCACCACTCTGTCGTTGAACCTCCCCAACCCCCAAACAGACTTTGTACTAGGATGCCTGGCCTGCCTTGACCTTGGGCCTCCCAGAACCTGGAGACCCCCATGACCCCCCAGGAAAGGCCGGTTCTTCAGGTCAAGCCCTCTCTCTGTGTGTGGACCTGGGAGAGCCCTTTTCCCTGTCTGAGCCTCAGAGTGAGCCCCACTTGGGCGCTGGGCCCAGCCTGCCTTATAGGGGTTTGGAGACGTGCTGAGTCTGCGTGTTAGTCACAAGGCAAATCATTTACTTCAGCTCATTATCTTTATTACTGTGTTCATCCCCAATATTGGGCACTGGGGGGTTGAACACAGGACTACAGATGTCAAAAACAACAGCTCCCTTTTCCCTCCTGGCCTCAGTTTCCCCCTCTGTCACACAGGGATGGAAGGCTTTCCCTGCTTCCGTCATCGAGATACTATGAGGCCCAAAGACAGCCACACAAAGGCCTAAGCCTCTAAGCCATAGAGTGCTCAACCAGCGTAGTCCTTGCCCACGAGGGCTCGCCATCTGTGAGGGAGACCTGTGTCCTTGCTCATCACTAGCAGCTAACCAGAAGGGCAGGTGGGGCTTGGCCCTGTGACCAGACGATATCCAAGAACCTCTCAGCCATGGGTCTGACTTCATCAAGCTGTGTCCTGGAAGTGGATGACTGGTTTTGTGTGGGGCCAGGGGTGTTGGCCTCCTCCCCAATACACACACACTTCTGGGCAGACTCCCAAGACCTTCATATACATCATAGTCTAAGGGACCCCCAAGCTCAGAGGGTAGAGAGCTGAGCCCTTTCTCCTCAGTCATTGCTGAGACATAGCTCTGGAGCAGGCCAAGCTAAGAGGGGAGCCCCACAGAGTAAGCTGGTGGCAGAGGCCTCCTGGATAAGGCCAGCACAGTCCAAAGTCCAGAAGAACAGTGGAGGCAGGTCAGCTGACAGGCAGTCAGTCAGTGGAGTCACCGTAGCTTCTAGTATCTCTAGCTGGCGGTGGTGCTCAGTAGGGGTTCTGGGGATGCTGGCCGACTCAGGGTCACGCTGGGGAAGCTGGCAACAAAGCTGTCCCACCGTCTCCTCACCTGCTGGAAGACCAAGGTAGGGGATGATCATGGAGTGGTGGGCTTCAGGTGCTGTTCCGCTCATAGCCACGGGGTGGGGGTAGAGCCCAGAGAGAGAGAGAGAGAGAGAGAGAGAGAGAGAGAGAGAAGCAAGGCTCCCAGGAGACCCTTCCTCCTCTTGGAAGGAGACAGGGCTAGGAGTCCATGCCTCGCCCAAAGGGGTCAGAATCTCCTGGGAGGATGGGGGAGGGGTAAGGGCTCAAAATCTAACTCTCAGGAAATTGGACTCCTTGCCTCTTGCTCCATTCACCCATCCAACATATTGTCACATTGATCATCTTACAATAACTCTGGAAGTTGGGTGTGGTGGTACACCCCCATAATCCCAGCATTTGGAAGGCAGAGGCAGGAGGAGATCAGCGTGGGTTACATAAGACGCCTCAAACAAACACACAAACCACACAACCCTCCCCAGCTCTGACCTTGTTACCCACCCTCAAAAAAAACCAAAACTTAAATGACTCCCCTTTGCCCATGGAATCCCAACCTCCTTCAGGGTCTTCTGAATGAGACAAGCAGCTGTCTTCCTGGTCCTTGACCATATGTGTCTAATACACTGAACCTTTACTGCCCTGGCTCCCTCACCTGGGAGCCCCCACCCCCAGAGGCACCCCGACTTCAACACTCAGACACACCTGCTGATACTGCCTCAGCCACTGCCGGCTGCCTCCACGCTTGGCTTGAATCAGCTGCTCTGTGTCCCCCGGGCTCCCAGGCAGCTGCTCAGGAGCAGGGGCATCCAGTCCTTTCATGTGGCCATCAAGACCCTGGGTTCTGGACTTCTCTCGGCCTTGTCTGAGGCTCAGTGCCCGGCGAAGCTGGCCATTGAGGGGCCTCCCTCCGGGCTCCAGGAGCTTCCCATAGGAGGACCTCTGTCCTCGAAAGGACTGACTGCGTGGACCGGTTCCCATGGTTCTGGTGGGTTCAACACTCAGCGAGCCACTGCCCCTCTGAGGTGGCCTGGTCCTTCTGCCTAGCTGATGTGAGATCACCTCACAAAGAGCAAAGGTTGGCTCTACTGAGGTGGCTGTCATAAACCAAAGGGCAGGCCTCAGAAGCCAAGCATCCCTGAGTCAGCTTCCCCGCCTTCTGGGACAAAGAGCACAGACCAAGGGATTGGCGTTTTGTTGTTCTTTGAGACAGGCTCTCACTATGTAGCCCAGGCTGATCTTGAATTTATGATCCCTGCTTCGGAACTGTGTGGCTCTGGCTGTCCACATCACTCATCCAGTTGACACTGAGCACAGATATCTCCACAGCAAATCAGAGACAGGCTTTTATGATTCAGAACAGTGACAATCCAGAACAGGCAAATTCACAGAGTAGACTGGTGTGTTCCAGTGGCTAGGGGTGGGGGTAACGGAGAGTCCTTGGTTAACAGTTGTAGATTTTCAGTTTCACGAGCTCTGCAGGTTGGTTGCACAACACTGTGAGTGGACCCAGACTACTGAACTGTCTACTTAAAAAATGACTGAGGTGATAAATAAATTTTATGCAATATGTATTTCATTGCACTAGAAAAAATTTTAAAAGGAGGATCATGAGTTTGAGGCCAGCTTGGGCTCAAAACAAACAAACAAAAACAAAAACAAACCTAAAAAAAGTTGCTTCTTGGCCTTTTGACGAAGATCAAATGTTAAAAAAAGGAGGAAGGAAGAGAGAAAGACTGCTGCACAGGTCGCCCCTGATGAGTCAGGGACATGTTGCCTGCACCTCTTGGCTCACCATCCCCCCTTTCTCCCAAGGCCTGTGGCCTCTTTCCTTCCTCTTAGAGTTTTGGGATCTTCTTTGGGTGAAGAGTCTCTTACTATCCACCAGGCTTAGCTCCTATCCAGAGGAGCTAAGACAGGGTCATATGAAAAGAATGGACAAAAAGGAACCCTGGTCCTCTGCCCTGGCCTGTCCCAAACACCTATTCTGATAGACACCCAGGTCTCTTTACTCCAACCCTGCCCACGCTCCTCATGTTTAACCCACAGGCCCTGGTTTAAAGGTCACAAAACCATTATTCAATTTTCAATGCCCTCACCTTAGCCTATGCCATCAACTCAAATCTCCATTCCTGGGATATAGCAAGGGATGAGCACTTGCCTAGCATTTGGGAGGCCCTGGGTTCCCTCCCCAACACTGCAAAAAATGAAAGAAAGAAAGGAAGGAAGGGAGGGAGGGAGAGAGAGAGAGAGAGAGGGAGGGAGAGAGAGAGAGAGAGAGAGAGAGAGAGAGAGAGACAGAGAGACAGAGAGACAGAGAGACAGAGAGAGAAATGAAAGAAAGAAAGAAAGAAAGAAAAAGAAAGTCTGAGCCACGGCAGAGCCTGTTGACTCACAGACTTTCGAGATGTGTTGGGCTGAATCACTTGCTCTTGCTTCAAGCCCGTGGCTGCAGAACCCCCTTTTGTTAAAAATGGAATTTGAAAACAGCCTCCTCTTCCCATTGAAGACAAAGAAGAAATCTGTGGAGCCAGCCTTTCTTCCCCACTGCCTCCCACCTGCCTCACCTAGCCAGCTCTCTTCTTTCCACACCTTGTTCTGTGAGGCACACTTCTCCAAGAAGGCTGATTGGTCCCTACGGGCTGGGGCTGGGTTGGGTGGGCAGCCCCTTCTGCAGTTCACCGATGCATGCCCAGCACATCCACACATGTACTCCTTACCCATCATCATCTTTTCCATCTCCACATCCACAGGACCTGACATGGTAAATACACAGAGTTAATTGTTGGCAAGGGGCAAATGGCCCCTGGGCAAGGAGTATAGGCCAAGGGACCAGAATGGACTGCCTCTTCCTCCTGCTTTTCTATTTTGAGGATTTTTTTACTGGTACTGGAGTGTAATCTCCCTGGGTTTCATTTAAATCTCATGATAGTTTAAATGAAATTTAATGGCTTAAAACGAATTTAGTGGCTTAAGACGGCACACAGTTATTATCTCACAGTTTCTGTGGGGTGGGAATCACACATGGCTTAGAAAGACTCTGACTCTGGCCTCGCACAGGCACTGACTACGGTCTTCTCCAGGTGCCACTGGGGTTCAATGTGCTTCCAAGCTCACTCTTGGGGTTGTTGGCAGAATTCTATCCCTTGTGGGTTGTTGACCTGAGGGCCTGTTTCTTGTTGGTTGTTGGCTGTGCTGCTATTTGGGTCTGCTACCTTCAGTGAGAGTAAATGACTAAATACAAGCCAGAGTCTCTGGGGACCTACTCATGGAAGTGACATTCCATCACTTGTGCTGTAATGTGTTCCTTAGATGTAAGTCACCAGGTCCAGCTTGCTCTCAAGGGGAGGGGATTACATATGAATGTGAACCCCAGGAGGCAGCCAGCGTGATTGGGGTCATTTTAGAGAGACTTAGGATTCTGAACCCATGTCATTGATTGAATGTAGAGCCTTGAACTTTCATTAATGGAAAGGTAGCATTATTTTATTTTATTTGGGGGCTTAAATAACAGAATTCCTCACAGTTCTGGAGGCTGTAAGTCCAAGATCAACGTGTCTGCAGGGTTGGTTCTTCTGAGCTTTCTCTCTTTCTTGTTGATGCTTTCTTGCTGTATCCCCACGGGTCTCATCTCTGTGTGTCTGTGTCTTAATTTACTTCTCTTCCAGGATACCAGTCATATTGGATTAATCGGTAAAGTAGCCTCCATTAACTTAATTACTTCTTGAAAGGTCCTACCTCCTTCCTAATACACTCGCATGCTGATGGAGCAGGGATGAGGACTTCCACATATGAATTTTAGAGGGGACATAATTCAGCCCATGCAACAAATCATTGCAAGTTCACAGAGATTATCAGGTGCTAATGAGATCATGCAAACAGTTCAAAGTTCAAAAGTGAAGAAAGACTTGGCACCTGTACAGATGGCTCACACCTGTAATCCCAGCTACTTGGGAAGCTGATCTAGGGAAGATGGAGGTTTGAGGCCAGTCCAGGCATAGTTGCAAGACCCCATCTCCAAAACAAAACAAACAAAAAAACCCACAGCAAAACGGACTGGAGATATGGCTCAAGCAGTAGAACCTCTTCGTGCTTTGTAAGCACGAAGCTCTGAGTTCAATCCCCAGTCCAGTCCAACCAAAAAAAAAAAAAAAGCTCCCAGGTTGAGCCCTCTATGTGGGTCAGGTACTGTGCTAAGGGCTTCTTGCATAGGGTAGTGTTTAATCCTTGTACTTAATAGATGTGGGTGACACAGCCAGTAACGCAGTACTTTTAAACTTGTTCAAATGTGCGGGACCTGATGGTGGGATGGTGCCTAGCAGGTCTAGCCTGGTGCCATGAACTCCCCTTGTTAGCAAGCACCAATCATCGACAATGCACCGACAATGCATCGACAGGACTGGGCAGGGACCTGAAAAGCTATCCTTACCATCAGGTCCCAGGCAAGCCTTATCTTGTGGGAGATCTTGGAACCACATTGCTCAAGACCTTTCTACCTTTGACAATTGCAATCTTAGGATGCAAATGTCATCTGAATTCTTGTTTTTCTTTCCCCAGGCAGGCTCAATGTGGCCACTGGAGCAGATAAAACACAGGGGGGTCCCTGGCTCAGTCCCTAGCTAGGTGATCAGGAGAAAGGTTGTTTCTGTGCTCTGAGCCTCAGTATCCACACCTGCCAAATGGGTACAGCATCTTTGACTACTTCACAGGGCTGCTGGAAGAACCAGCAGCTGGTATGGACCTGGCACCTTGGTGAAGGGCTGGGACCATGGTAAGGAGTCTGCCACAGGCTTTGGGAACCTGGGCCTCTGGCATGTGGCCATGGAAGAGGAGTGGAGAAAGGCAGTGGCTGACTTCAGGTACGAGGCTGAGCATGGTAAGTAAAAGGGCCTGTATCACCCTAATAAAGCTTGCGGGGGGGAGCATTTTGGGGACGGTTAACTCATCTTTTTGCTTCCTGGACGACATGTTCAGAGGCATGGAAACACAAGAGGAAAGATCTCAGAACTTACAGACACTTCTGCAGCCTGACAGCACAGGGGAGTCATAGCCTGAGGCCCACCAAGGCTGGTGGAAGGTCTGAACATCTTACAGAAATCTCCTGATAGGCCAGCAGAACAATCTAGACTGAATAATCGGAGCAGGAGAAGGCCGAAAAGACAGAGTGGATCCTTGGGGTGGGGACACAATGGAGTTCAAGGAAACTGGGGATCACTGTTAGGGGTGAAATTGGGATTTAGGCTCCACCCCAACCAAAACCCGTACCTGGGCAAGTGCACAGTCATACAACTTCCAACTGTACAAATACTCCTGGCCAACTGGGCAAGGGGAGACTACAATCCAACCCACACCTTGCCTGCTCAGACATGATGATGGCTCCAGGAAGGGCTTCAGCACCAAGTGCCACCCAGAGGGTCACGTTTTCCTGGTTGTCATGAATGCACTGCATGACTTTGGTTGGTTTTTGGAGCTACTGGGGTTTGAACTCAGGGGTTTGCTCATGCTAGGCAGATGCTCTGTCACTTGAGCTATGTGTACCCAGCTCATAGCATGGCTAAGTGATAGTTGCCTATGGAAACTATCCTAAGAGCCCCAGTGGAGTGACCTGGGCCCCTCTAGGACCTGGGGGAAGGAAACTTATCAAAAAAGCTGAAGAACTACTTCTGAGCCCCCTCCACCCATCAGGCACATGGAGTGATCTCTGCTGCTTAGAATAGAAGACACACAGGCTGGTTGTGGTGGTCTATAATTCCAGTTATTAGGGAGGTGAAGCCCAGGAGGATCAGTTTGAGGCCAGCCTGTGCAAAGACTTAGGGTGACCTCAACTCAGTCAATAAGCCAGGTGTGGTAGTGGTATGTACCTGTCATCTTGGCTACATGAGAAGCTATAGCTAGGAGGATCGTGGTCTGAGGCTGACCTCTGGCACAAAAAGAGGGACCTTACCTGAAAAATAACTGAAGCAAAAATGGGCTGAGGCAGTGGCTCAAGTGGTAGAGTGCCTGCAAGCACAAGGCCCTGAGTTCAAACTCTAGTACTAACCGCCCCCCGCCCTCCCCCACCCCGGGCCAAAAAAAAAAAAAAAGACACAGCAGCCAGCTGGGTGTCCTGGCTGATCTGCAGGTGGCAATGGGCACTATTACTGCCTTGCCAAATCTTTTCATCAAGGGTCAATCCTGTTGGCTCACCAGCAGCCAGGCTTTCTGAAGCTCAAGCTGCCAAAATTTGGTCATCCGTCTTTCATCATCTAGAGGTGAAGATCTGGCATATCTGGGTTGTCCTGTGAAATGTTCAGGGTGAAACCAGGTTTCTGGACTGTGACTCTGAGGTGTGGGCTGTTTCTGCTATGTTTTGAAGGCTCTGTGCCTTATCTGGGAGCCCCCACCCACCTGGTCTCCTTGTTTCCAACTACTCCTGGCCTTCCCTGAACTTGCTCCTGGGCTGTCCTTGCTGTGCTGCAATGCTCTATGACCCTCATCATGCCTCCACTCATCCTGCCTTCCTGTCTTACTTGGGCCCTTCCCTCTTTGTAGGATCCCACTTAGCAATATTCACTCAATCTCCCCCCCCCATTCCCACCCCTTGACTTAGCTCAGGCATTGCCTCCTTCAGGAAGTCCACCAAGGGCCCTCTCATGGGATCAAAGACACTTCCTGGACTCTCATAGCTCCCTAGCCAGCATCTACACTCTTCTTTGAAATCGAGAGCTTTGAGGTCTGTCCTCCCCACTGTCTCCACTAGTCATGGGCACCATGGTGATGGGGAATGCTCACTACTCTCCACGTCTCCAGTGGGCACTACTAACAAGGCCCACTTTCCTCCTCTCTGGCCCAGGGACACTGTCAAAGCCTCCTCCTTGGTGTCTACGCCCTCTTGACCTGACCTGGCATGTTCCAGATTGTTGTCTCTTTAATTTTTCCCTTCCCCCTAAACGTGGTGCCCTGTGGACTTCTCTTTTCTGCTGGACTCTTGGCTTCTGGGGTAGTGCAGTCCCATTCACGCAAGTCCTTTTAACTACTAATTGTGGGCTGATGACACAAATGCTTTAATTTGCTACTTATTAGGCACATGTTTAAAGGCGAGTAGGGATGTAGGGTGGAGTACAAAAGACAGTCAAAAAACTTTCCAGAAAGTAGGAAACACTGCAATGGAATGCATACCTAACTTTGACCTCCTGGGGAACTCATCCTGGAGGTAGGAGAGAGCTTGTTTCCTTATGTATCTTGAGCTACATAAGGGTATAGGCAGAACTAACTGCTCTGAACTCAGGTTTCCTGTGTTCATAGCATACTTTTTTTCCTGGTTCTATAATTAGTTTCTTTGTTCAGGTCTGTGTCAAATGGTGTTCATGTAGGAGTTTACCTGAATTTGGGAGGAGCCACCTGCCCCCTCTGCTCCAGACCTAGGCGCTCAGAGGGCCCAATCAGAAAGGAACCACCATATCACCCAGTGGTAACCTTCTGAATGGCCAGTTCTTGAGCAGGACCTTGCCTTTTCTAAAGAATACGGCGGGGGGGGGGGTGGAGTGGGGGAGTGACCCAAACATTGTATGCACATATGAATAAAAGAAAAATAAATAAAGAACACAGGGATCCATGGCTTACACCTACGCAGCAGAACAGATAAGCGAGACAGGAAATGATGACGTCACAAGGAAGAAGGGTAATAGAGACAGTAAGTAAAAGTCCAACCCTGTTTATGTGGAAATCCAACCCAGAGAGGGAAGGGCCATGTCCAAGGTCACATAGCTTTAACTCTTTTCCTGCATTAAAAAGAAAGAAAACAGCTTGGGAGTTCTTGGATAGACTGTGAGCTCTGTGATGCGGTGAAAGGGATCTCGCCCACTGCCGTCCCCAGCATAACACCAGGCACATAGAAGTTGGTCAAAAGGAAAGTGTGAAGCTGTGAATCTAGAAAATTGCAATTTAAAATCCTTGCTCTGCTATAAAACAGCTGTGCTGAACTCACTGAGGTCTGGCATTTTGCCAGATAGGTGGAAGGAAGTTGGAGTTACACTATTCAAAAAAGTCCAAGAAGTGAAAGGAGTTATAACCTTTCTCCACGCTTAGTAATCAATTTCTAGTTAACACAATGTTCTTAGTCCTTGATACTCCTATCTGGAAGCAGGTTATTTTTCTCCTCAACCTGATTACCATCTGATGTTCTATACATTTTACTTATTGTCTGGTCTCCTCTTACTGGAATTTTGGGATGTTTTGGTCATTTCCCTCTCACCTGACTGGCGCAGAGTCCAATTTATGAGGCTTTCCTTCCCTATTTCAACCTAGCCTTCTAAACCCTCTAGGTCCTGAGCCGCCCTGCTTTGCAGATTAGGACAGAGCTCCGAGACGTGAAGCTGCTGATCCAAGGTCACAGAAGCTGACTCCAGACCACTGTTACGCCCCCGCTCAACTGCTAAAGGACGCAGTCACGTAAAGCCAGGTGGCACCAGCGTTTTCTCTTTCCTCCTGAAGTTCGCTTTTGCTGCGACCGGTTCTCCATTCACTAAAGTGTATCTGCATCCAGCAGGGACGCCCAAGCCACAGCGCAACTGTTATGCTTGCGGTTCGGGGAGACACGTGCTACCCCGGTGAATGAATCGCATGTCCCCACCCCCGCCAACAGCCAATCACAATGTGTAAGAACCCGGCAACTTCCGCCTATTGCGGGCCGGGAGGCCCACGTGAGGATCCAGAGACAAGGGAGTAGGAGGTGGCGCTTTGGGGGCGGGCTTTCTCCGCCTCGCCACCAATCCAGGGGCCCGCCAGGGACGCGAGGGGCGGGGTTGACGTGGGGCGCCAAGGCTTTAAAACGACGGGTAGGCGGGCTCAGAGAGGAGTCCTAAACGGGGGAGCGGTGAGTGACGGCGAGCACTGCCCAATACCAGGAGGGGTTGGGCTGCCTGGGCCAATAGGAAGTCTGAGAGGCGGGGCCGGGACTGCAGCAAGTTCAGTTGCGCGGAGACCGCAGCTGTTCTCTGTCAGTGGAAGCAGCGGCCGTACAGACGGCGGCGACGACTTGCGGCGGCGGGCGGAGGTGAGTGTCCGCGGCGCTCCGCACCTTACTCTTCCTGCGGCAGGTCGGAGCGGGTGGGCGTGCGCCGGCGCCGCCGCCAGAGACGCTTATGTAAAGGTCTCGCGCGCAAAGGCGGCGCCGTCTCTGTGAGTGACGGCTTGAGGAGACCGCGGCCGGCGGTGCGTGACGCGACGCGACACGACGTGCGCCGTCCCTACCCACCTCGTCCCAACCCCCCGCAGGGACCCGGCCGGCGCGGACCCGCCTCCTCCCCTGCCCCTACAGTGCTCCGCTCCCGGAGCATCCCTCGCTCGTGGCGCCGTATTGTCCCGCCTCCAGGGCAACCGCCGGGTGGCTTAAATTCTCTCGGGCCCGTTTTGCAGATGTAGAAACTGAGCACCGTGGCCAAGAAATGCCTTGCGCGAGGACTCTGAGGGTTCAAGCCCAAAGTCTGTTGGAACTGGGCGACCGAGTAGCCCCATCATAGTGAACGCATGGAAGCCGGGGCGAGTAAGGTGAGGGGTGGTCTTGTTCCAGGTGCCTGCGCTCCTCCTCGCACGGCGTGCTCCTTAGGAACCCTCTGTTCCACTTTGGTTCAGATGTGGAAGGAAGCTTGAGGCGCCAGACGCAGTGCTTTGCCCAAGGCTCCTCAGTTAGGAGGCGCGGTTAGGCTCAGCCCGTTATTTCTACCGCTTTTTAGCAGTTTATGAAGTGCATTCAGCGTGTGTCCTCCTGTGCACGAGTCAAAAGCCTTGGCTTTGAGGACCTGCCCTGCAGGTTTCTGCCAGCGTGATTTACCCTGTGTACTCTGAGCAAGTTGTTTTACCTTTAGAGAACTCTTTCCTCTTTCAAACTCTGGAGTTAAACCAAGTCCCTAGGTTCCTGGCAGCTTTGAAATTCTTAAATATTTTCATTTCTTGAGGCCAGGACTAATCCGCATTCTTTAGTTGAGAAAACCGAGCCTCTAAAAAATAGCAGCACTTGCTAGATTACAACTAGAGCTCCCAGAGTTTTTGCCATGTGCGTTCTCTGTTGCTCTCTTACCCACTGCCACACGCAGCAGCCCTGGCTGGCCTCTCCCATGTCACCCTTTTCCTTTATGTGTTGCAAATATTTGTGCCGGGAGTGGTTGTGCCGAACTTTCTATCTACTTGCAGCTACAGCTTTCTGTTGGCCTGCTCTTCATCTTAACTCTTGAACTCTTAATCACATTCTTTTGCACACTTATACTGCAGAGACCTAGAAAAGTTCTGAGAGATGACCTAGGTGATGAAATTAAACCTTGTCCTAGAATTGAAAGGTGGCTCACGTCTGTAATTCTAGCTACTCGGGAGGCAGAGATCAGGAGGACCACAGTTGGAGGCCAGCCCTGGCAAATGGTTGGCAAGACACTATCTGAAAAATACCCAACATAGAAAAGGGCTGGTGGAGTGGCTCAAATGGTAGACTGCCTGCCTAACAAGCGTGAGGCCCTGAGTTCAAACTCCAGTACCACCAAAAAAAAAAAAAATTGTTGACAAACTGGTTGGAGGAGAGAAAAATAAAACATAAGTGGCAAGTCGACATGCCACAGATGTTTGTAGAAAGAGGTGAGAGCAAGGTATGACCCAGAGGAAGAAAGGAAGAGGAAGTTCAGTAAAGGCCCACAAATCAGGGCAGACCACAAGCAAGGGAGAGGAGAAAGGGACTGGCCTCAGAGCTACAAAGGGATGGATTTGTCCTGGTGAAGCTCTTTTTTGATGCTGCTGGCAGTGAAGCAGCAGTGATCAGAGTTGAGCCACCAAGGTTTTGTTTTGGAAGAGGAGGGCTAGGGAAGGTGGAAGGAGAATGTGGGGGAAATAGTACTTCTCAGTTGAGTGTGAGCAATTTGGTTGGTAACTGGGAAGAGGCCTCAATAGCAGATGAAACCAGATGAGGGCACTAGGGTTTGTAAGGAAGTGAGATTGGATCCAAAAGCAGCTGGTGTTGGGTTGGGCTCTGAGGGTCCAGCAGCGGCCCTGAGCTATAGGTTGTATCCATTTGTGTTCTAGTAAACTATTTTTTTTGTGGTACTGGGGTTTGGATTCAGAGTCTACACCTTGAACCACTCCACCAGCCCTTTTTTGTGTTGAGTGTTTTTGAGATAGGGTCTTAAGAACTATTTCCCCGGGATGGCTTTGAACCATGATCCTCCTGTTCTCTGCCTCCTGAGTAGCTAAGATTACTGTCTCAAAGAGTTTACCAGAGTTTACCAGTTTACTGTTCTCAAAGAGTTTACCAGTGAGAACAGCCATCCCTTTTGCATTTTGGTGCTTGGGGATGGAGCCCAGAGCCTTGAGCATGATAAGCATGCACTCCATCACTGAACTACATCCTCAGCCCACCCTTTGTTTCTTACTGGCTGCCCTGTATCCTGCCCTTAGGAAAAGGGCTCTGTTTACTGTGGTTGCTCAATGTCAGTTTTTTGAGTTAACTTAGGCCAACATCCAAAGCCTTCCCAGTTTACCCTAGTGAATCCTCCTGCACCTTATTTCCTCTCCCTGTGGAAGCTCATTGCAGCCTGGCTGAGCTGTCCCTGTGCCAGATCTACCTACGGGATCTCAACACAAAAAAAGGGCCTGTGGTGGGTCCCTCTGGCCAATGTAAATGGCTGGAATTCTCTTTATCCAACTCCTTGCTTTCTCCCTGTCTCCCTTCCCCAGGCACTGTGCTGGGTGCCCGTTCTCCCAACATCGCGTAGGAGGCTCTGGGCCCAGTGGCAGGGCTGGATCTCAGACCCATGTCTCTCATTCCATGTCACAGATAGCTGTGACATGGAATCTGTATCCCTTTTTGCTGTATCCTCACAGCGCCTAACACAGTGCTGGGAACAAGCAGTCTCTTAATAAATGTTTTGGATTAATTAGTAGAAAATGGCTCAAATTGAGAACCAGTGAGAAGGGTGGAAGTTGGGGAACATGGAAAAGAATCAGTTTGGGGTGGCAGGGATGACCAGCACCATTGGCAGGAGACCAGTAAATCTGGGAGGAATCCCCACCTCTCCTGAGCACTTTTCGCATTAGCTCCGTGCCTCATTCAGGTTAGTGCTTTTGTGGAAGATTAGTGTGGACCTTTTCTTTGGCTGCCTCCCAGCAGCATCAGCAGGGTCTCGCTGTGCATCCCAGGTTGGCCTCAAACTCATAGTCCTCCTACCTAGCCTCCTAAGTATTGAGATTACAAAATCTACCACTGAACTACATCCCCAGTTCTTCCTACCCTCTTACCACCCCCTCTCCTTTCTTTTTGGCAGTACTGGGGTTTGAACTCAGGGCCTCATGCTTTCTAGGCAGGTGCTCTGCCACTTGAGCCCCTTTGCCAGCCCTTTTTTGTGTTGAGTATTTTCTTTTTTTATTGTTTTATTATTCATATGTGCATACAAGGCTTGGGTCATTTCTCCCCCCTGCCCCCACCCCCGTGTTGAGTATTTTCGAGATAGGGTCTTGAGAACTATTTGCTTGAGCTGGCTTTGAACTGTGATCCTCCTGATCTCTGCCTCATGAATACCTAGGATACAAGTGTAAGCTACCAGTGCCCGGCATTCCTGACACTCTTTTGAACAGGCCCTACACTTTGTAACCCAGAAATACCTGACTGGGGCTAGGTTCTGATTCAGAGACAGCCTTCCCAGAAGGGAGTGTTGTGCCTCATCACTACTGAAACCTTGCCTGGGCCTAACTGAGTCTCCCTCACTGCTTTGCCTTAGGCTGCCTTCTAGTGTTAGCTGGGACCCTTGGTCTAAGGAAGAGATCCTGATAGTGGAAGATGGGAAATTGATGAAAGGAGTAAGCATTTCGTCTTACTTATTGAATGGGAAGCTTGCCTCAGCTTGGCATTCAAGACTTTATTGTTACCTGGTGCTGGTGGCTCACACCTGTAATTGTAACTACTCAGGAGGCAGAGATCAGGAGTAAGAGATCAGGAGGATTGAGGTTCAAAGCCAGCCCCAGGCAAATAGTTCATAAGAACCTATCTGGGGGCGGGGGAGGAGAAGGACTCCGACGGGTGAGTGCATCACAAGAAAGAGCTGGTGGAGTGGCTTAAGCAGTAAGTGTGGGCTGGCAACATGGCAGTAGAGCACCTGCCTAACAGTAAGTAATTCCAGTGCTGCCAAAAAAAAAAAAAAAAAAAAAGATGTGATCCTACCTGTTGGGCTTTTTCTTCCACTGACCCCCCTCCACCAAAGGTCACCTTTTCTGCATTGGGTCCCCCCACCATTCACTGTTCCCCAAACTCTGCTCTTGTTCCTGGTGACCTTGTTTTCTGCAGGGCCTTTCCTCTTGTCCTGTCAAAATGAAGTTATTCTTCAAGACTCAAGGCTTTCCTATATTAAGCATTGTCAAATCTATTTGGTTGGACATGGGCTTTCTCTTTTAGTAATGATGGTAATGACTTGCTATTATTAATAATAAAAATAATCTGTATGTGCCCTCACTATGTGGTGACAGGGACCTTGCATACAGAGAGGCAAGATAACTCACTCAGAGTTACAAGGCTAGGAAATGACAGAGCTGGAATTGGCCTGAGGTGCTGGGTTCCTGCTTGGGTGCCTCTCAGGTATCATTCCTTTTTTTTACCTTCTAATATTGGTCCCAGCAACTTAACTTGCCTTTTGGCACTTTTTGGGCAAAGCCTGTGTCTTCTGGCATAGATCTTTGTGCAAGGTATGCACTTAATAAATACTGTATTGAATTGATTGCCCCAAACATTCAATTTCAGCCTTCATATAATCTACCAAGGCAACTGGATTTCTGTGAACATAGATTCAATCCCTTTGCTGGGTTGCTGGTCTGTGTCTCCATTTTGCTATTTATTGAATAATGGCTTGAGCTGCCTCATAAGTGTGGCTTTTTGAACAGAAGCAGTCTGTACGCTCTGAAAAGTGGTCAGTCGCACACTGTCATGTGTGGGCTCCTGGGAGCCTGAATGTAGGTTGCACTCTTAAGCTCGGCAGGGAGGGGCTCTATAGGAAAGGGTCTGAGGAGACACATCTCAGGTCACATAAGACAGTTCCTCATTAGTGTCCAGTTGCATCCTGAGATAGGAACCAGAGTCCCAAGAAGCAGGAGCACAGGTATTACCTGAGGATTAGAGGCAGCTGTGAGGAGAAAGTGGCCCTGGGGCTGGCTGGAGGTGGGTGGGAGGAGAAAGCACTTTAGATGAAACAGGGACTATTTCTAGAACTTGTTCTTGTGTAGTAGGTTCAGACAAAGGTTTTATGTAAGTGTTTACTGCCACACACATCAGCCAAAGTCAGAGTGTGTCCTTTGTGTGAGTTACCTCATTTTGGTGATCCCTAGAGCCTGTGAGGTGGGTATTGCTACTGTCCCCATTTTACAGATAAGGGATCCTCTGAGGGTTGCTGGAGCGGGTAGCAGAGCAACAAAGGCTGGAGCCCAGAAAGCTGGACAACCGAGTGCTGCCCTGGTGATCTCCATGGTATCCCTGAGATGGAAGCAAGCAGTTTTCTGGGTTCTAAGTCTGTGTTCTTGTTGCTCCTTGGTTCTCTGGGGAGTGCCTGGAGAAAAGAGGCTAACACTTTTTCTTTTTTCTTTTACTTTAGATAGTGTTTGCCTTCTGGAGAGCTGACAGATCACTAAAGGTAAGTTCTGTGTCTGAACCCAGGCCTGCGAGCTGTATGGGGTCTTTGATGGGATGACCTGGCTGACTATAGCTGTGAATGCTATAGTCCTTGCCTGCCAGGTCTCAAGCTCAATCAGTATAAAAGGCCATGCACTGATTTTTGGAAAATCTCCATTTCAGCTCGGTCTCTGCATTTTGTTGGTTTTCACAAGAGGGTGACATCTGGCTCCCTGCTGGCCCAGTTGGCAGCTGGCCAGCTGCAGCAGGAGAGTGGGACTTGGGAAGTGGGCAGGGGGAGGGTGGTGAGGCTCCAGGAAGCATCCTGGGGCTGGGCAGCCTCTGAAAGACCCCTTCTTCAGGGGTGGTTGCAGAGATGGGCCTCTGGTCCCTGAGGGGGTCAGGAAAGCATGCAGCTGGGACATGAGTGATGACTCTGCCAGCTAGTTATAAAAACTTGACACTTGCCAATGACAAGGGGTAAAGGTGGAATTGTCCTTTCCTTTCTCTCCCTAGTGCTTAGGCAGCACTGCCTTCAGGGTATCTCCTAATGTGGAGTCTCCCCAAATGCAGGTGGCTGGGAGACCCAGTTCCATCTGATTAACTCAAATTCCAAGGCTCTCTGGGCTGGACCCTGATCTTGTCTCCTGATGCAAAGACAGCCTGGCCAGGCATTCTCTTGAGTTCAGGGCACTAGGAATGCTCTATCCTACAACTGACGGCAGATCCGCTGCTCTCCCTATTTCCCAGCTAGGTGCCCTGGGGACTTGGTGACTCACCTTTCTCCACAGCTCATGTTCAGTGTGGAGTGAGGATTCCTTTGTACAGGGATTTTTCTTGGTTTTCTATCCATTGTATAGGGATTTTTTTTCAGGGTGCCCTTCATAATCCAGGAGTTGGTCTTTGTGAGAATTTCCAAAGTCCTAGGCCTTGGGCCAGCTATGGCTATTTTTCACTCTTCTGTCGAGTTTGCTTAGAAAGCTGGTAAAGAAAAGGAAGATGGGTACTGGGTGGAAATGGCCCTGTACATGGATGAGCTCCATCTTTCACCATGGTTCCACTACCCTCTTCTCTCTACTTGTTCTATCCAGTTTTTGTTTTGTTTTGTTTTTTGTGTGTGTTTGTGGTACAGAGTTTGAACTCAGGGCTTCATGCTTGCAAAGCAGGTGCTCTACTGTTGGAGCCATGTCTCCAATCCATTTTTCCCTGGTTATTTTGGAGATGGGGGGGGCGGGTATCGCGAACTATTTGCCCGGCTGGTTTCAAACCATGATCTTCCTGATCTCTGCCTCCCAAGTAGCTAGGATTACAGGCATGAGCCACTGGCTCCCAGCCTGTCCATCAACTCTTCATTGATAGAATTGGATGCCATTTCTTTTGCTGTATCTTTGCAAGAAGAGCTGAGGGAGCTGTGAAGTATCCCCGAACCACGTATCTCCTGGAGCTGAAGAAACTGAAGCCTGAAGATGGCTTATGAGCAGAATCCATGATCTGACCCTGTTGTTTTTAAAGCTGTCATTTTATTGGTGTCTTCCCCCAAATCCATCAGTTGGAAAGGAAAATTAGTCACTAAGAGCCTTCTCCCAGGTCATTTGGTTTGTCAGAGCTTGTTCAGCTCATCTGTTCCCAGGGTTCTGCTGATTCCCCAGAGCTTTCCTTAGTTACGGTAACCAAGGCACTGTCATCTAGGCTGGGGGCCTCCTCCCTTGTAGCTTTCTCCTGGGTGATCTGGAAGGGAGGTGGATATAAGCTGAGTGTTAAGTGTTAGGCCAGAAGGCAGAACCCCAGGTCCTCTCCTCCCACCTTAACCTCCGTCTCTCCTGTTACCTCCTTGTCCTGATTTGCCATCAGGGCTGGGGGTGGGACCTGGGATATGGGGATATCACTCTGCCAGAAGTTCATTTCCACCAGCTGTGTGTGGAATGGGCCAGACTCCTATGGCAGGCAGCTCCTCTCCTGACCGACATACAACATGACATCTGCAGCTGAAGCTTCGGAAAATTCCATGACCTGGCTGTGCTGAGTCATGCTTAGTCTCTGAGAACACCAGTGTCTCTTTTTTCTGTCTGTCACTGGTCTGCCCAGTGACATCCCAGGGATGTCAACAGTTGCTAGGAGGGATTCTTGCTGCTCATTTCTTGTCTCTGCACTCACTTTATGCTTGTGAGTGCTTTCCCTAAGCAGTGTGCTGTTCATCAATACAAGATTTATTAATAGTAAATGACTCATAGTAAGAATATTATCTATTCTGGGAAATACTCCTCTTCTGGATGAGGAAACAGATTCTGAGAGCTGAAGTTGACTAGGTGAGTTTTAGGATCTGCATGAGTTTCCGGATGCCACACCCTGCTCCTTCCCAGGGATTTTTGAGTAATGGGAAGATTATTCAGAAGTTACTGTGGTTGAAAAAAGTTGATTTTCAGTTTATTAAAATTGGGTGGGAGGCATGGCTCAAGCATTAGAGTACCTGCCTAGTAAGCCAGAAGCCATGAATTCTAACCCCAGTACGACCACCAAAAAAAAAAAAAAATTGTTAAGGTTGAAAATTGAAAAGTCTAGTTCTTCCTTTTAAGGGCTGAACTTTTAAGTTTAGCTCTAAAAATAACCTACAAATCCTACCATTCTATTTATACTTAAGAATTTTTTTTTTGTGTGGGATTAGAGTTTGAACTCAAGGCTTCATACTTGCAAAGCAGGTGTTCTACCAGTTGAGACACTCCTCCAGGGCAGTCCCTTTACTCTGGTTATTTTGGAGATGGGAGTCTTGAGAACTATTTGCTCAGGCAAACAGCAATCCTTCCGATCTCAGCCTTCCAAGTAGCTAGTATTGCAGGTGTGAGCCACTGACACTTCTAGAATTTTTTTTTTTTTTTTTTTTTGGTACTAGGGTTTGAACCCAGGGCCTACGCCTTGAGCCACTCCACCAGCCCTTTTTTTTGTGATGGGTTTTTTCGAGATAGGGGCTTGTGAACTATTTGCCCAGGCTGGGTTTGAGCCATGATCCTCCTGATCTCTGCCTCCTGAATAGCTAGGATTATAGGCATGAGCCAGTGGTGCCCAGCATACAAAATTTTAGCTTTCACTTCAAAGGGCCCTTTGATTAATGCTGGTCCCATTTGAACTTGAAATTTTTAAATTAAATTTATAAATTAGTTACTTTCCTTTAATTATTTTAATATATCTTCCAATTGCCTGATTAAAAGTTCCATACTTAACTCCTGTAAAGCTAATAAATTAAACTGACTTAAATTTTTCATAAACGAATGTTTAAGAAAATTTTTTTTTATATTTTATTTTTTAGAACAACTTTCTGAGGTATTACTGACATAAATTGCACATATTTAAAGTGTACAATTTGGTAAGTTTTGGCAAATATGTACGCTTATGAAGCCATCACCACAGTTCAGACAGTGAACACGTTGGTCGGTCGCCTTTGGAATTTCTTCCTACCACTCTACCTCTCCATCCTAGGTAACCATTAAACTGCTTTGCCTTACTATAGATTAGTTTGCATTTTCTGGAATTTATGGAAAACAAGTGGATTCGTTGAGTCTGTATTCTATTTTGTCTGGCTTTTTTAAATTTCTTTTTTTATTATATTGTACTGGGGGTACATTGTAACATTTATGTCTGCCTTCTTTCATTGAGCATAATTATTTTCAGGTATGTCCATGTCCGTCACATGTATTAATAATCCATTCCTTTTTGTTGCTGAGTAATTATCCCATCACGTGGGTATCAAAATGATTTGTTGGTCATCTCAGTTACTTCTAGTTCTGGGTGATTATAGATAAATCTGCAGTGAGTTTGTGTACAAGACCTTTGCATGGATGTGCATTTCCTTTGCTCCTGGCAAATGTCTCATATAGGAGTAGCTGGATCATTCCTTTCACTTAAACTGCCAAGCTGTCCTAGTTTGTGTCGGTACCTGCAGCAGATGAGCATTTGGTTCCTGTCTGTTCTCCCCAGCACTGGGTATGGTCAGTGTTTCAGTTTGAGCTGTTTAAATAATGTTTAGTGGCATCTCGTTATAGCTTCAGTTTGAGTCCCTAATGACTAACGATGCTGAGCGTCATTTCATGTGCTTATTTACCATCTGCTAGTACTGATTTTTTTTTTTTGATGGGACTGGGGTTTGAACTCAGAGCTTCGTACTTGTGAAACAGGTGCTTTACCACTTGAGTCACACCTCCAGTCCAACTTCTTCTGGATATATATATATATATATTTTTTTTTTTTGGTGGTATTGGAGTTCAAACTCAGGGCCTCATACCTGTTAGTCAGGTACTGTACCACTTGAGCCATTCTGCCAGCTCTGTTTTTTTTTTTAAATTTTTTGTGGTTCTGGGGTTTGGACTCAGGGGCTATACTTTGAGCCACTTCACCCGCCTATTTTTGTGATTTTTTTTTTTTTTTGAGATTGGGTCTCATGAACTATTTGCCTAGGCTGGCTTTCATCTGCAATCTTCGTGATCTCTGCCTACTGAATAGCTAGAATTACAGACATGAACCACTGGCTCCTGGCCATTCTGGTTATTTTTGAAGATGGAATCTCTTGAACTGTTTGCCCTGGCTGTCTTCCAGCCACAATCCTCCTGATCTCAGCCTCCCAAGTAGCTAGGGTTAAAGGTGTGAGTCACTGGTGCCCAGCCAATACTGATTTTAAACTCAGTAGTATTCCTACCTAAAATCACAAGTCTAAAGCAATTACTTAGTCACATGCTTTAATTGGTACCTTTTTTTTTTTTTCTTGTGGTGCTGGGGATTGAGCTCAAGACTTCTTGCTTGCTAAGCAAACCCTCTACTACTTAGCTCCTTTAATTGGAATCTCAAAACTGAATTTTCACTCTGAACTGATCAAATTCCCTGTTCCCCCATACTGGGGGTGGGGGAGGAAGTTTGGGAGGACAGGAGCAAAAGATAAGGAAACATACAGATTATATTTTGGGAGGAGGTACTGGAGATAGAATCCAGGGGCTTGTGTGTGCTAAACACACGCCACCACTGAACTACACTCAAAAT